TCGCTAAAATTGTCGCTGCGCTCCCTGACTGTCCTCAATCCAGCAGCACCTCCACGTCTTGATCATAAATCGCCCCTGCTGAAAGGAGGCCCCGAGCTCGTATTTATAAGCTTCGGAAGCGGTTATTTGGATGAGAACAAGTGATTTGACCTTATCTTTAGTCAATAACGGCCTAACCACGTTGGTAGATGATATCAAGTCAGTTGGGAACCTCTGGAACTGAAAAAATCTCGAGAAAACTGTTAAAACCGTCGAAAAACGAGTTTTTGGGTCAAAACAGAGCGACGGGTCGTGCTGACCCGTGCTGGTGCGGGTCGGTTTCGGCTGTCCCGCATCGGCGCGGGTTCCGAAGCCTGACACTTTCTTTTAGTTTTTTGACTCTTCCGGGACTTGTATTTTCCACTGTTTTGCGTGTTTGACCGTCTTGTTGACTTGCACGTGCTGGTGCGGGTCGGTTTCGGCTGTCCCGCATCGGCGCGGGTTCCGAAGCCTGACACTTTCTTTTAGTTTTTTGACTCTTCCGGGACTTGTATTTTCCACTGTTTTGCGTGTTTGACCGTCTTGTTGACTTGCATGCTTCGTTGCGGGATTGACTGTCAAAATCGCGTTGGTTGATATTCGCGCGTGTTGATTGATGCACGCGTGTTGACCGACGCGCGCGAACTGATTGTCGGACGCGCGTTTATTGATGCGCGCGAGTTGATTAACGCGCGCGTGTTGACCGACGCGCGCGAGCTGATTGATAAGCGTGCATGCTACTCGGTTTGCTGTTTTGCTTCAGGCGCTTGTCAACGTCAAATAATCCTCTTAGACTCAGATAACAATGTTCATCGTCTTCTCTCAGTCTTGAGCTGTGTGCGGACACCCATAGGTATTTTTAGACGCCTACAGGTTTCTCTATATATAGTCTTCTATTACTGGAGGAAAAACTAAGGAGAATGAATGAGCCACTATTCTTGTAATCTAGGTCAGTAGGGTGCATAAAATGAATTTAAGAATAATATGTGAGAGAAGAGGGTTTCACAGCTTTTGTCCGTGTAAAATTGCAAGGTTGGGAGAGTATTTCACAATCTTTATCTGTCCAAAAGATTATAAAGAGAGGGATTTGGAGGGAATATGAGGGGTTGATTACATATGTGAGGTTGAGAGATTGAGAGAGGAGAATGGAGCGGTTCCTTTTCTTGTTCTCCCTAATACATAATGCATTACTCGTATTGTTGCCTCGTGAATATTGGTCGAAGTTGGTTGACCGAATCACGTTAAATCTCAGTGTTTTTTTACTTGACTATGAGTGATTTCTATCTTGTTGATTGTTGTTGGTTTCCATGTTGCGAAGATCATAGGAGGTGGGGACTAAAATCCCTAACACCTACTTAGACTACATATGTATAATATTTGAATCCAATCTACTAAGCTTTTCTGTAAATAATTTGAGTCCAGATGCAAAATGAATTTGGGTAGCAAAAACAAGATAGCATGGGTTTTATCATTTGTGGGAGAAGGAAGTAGAGATTGGATTGAACGGACTTAGAGTCTATTTGGTATTGCTTATGAGATAAGTTATTTATAAATGTAGTTTAATAGAGGTAACTTATAAAAATAATTTTTTAGTAATTAAATATTAAAACTATTTAAAAAGTGATTAAGATGTTTGATAGAATTGTACTTAATGATCGATGTTAAAAAATCAAAGATATGCATGGTATATAACTAAAAAAAAGCAAAATCTGCTTTTAAAAGCATCCTCAAATTGTTTCTAAAAATACCCTTTAAAAGCGGAAGTAATTTCAATAAGCATACTAAATTTTTTTTTCCAACATCATTATTGTTTCCTCATTGAAAAAGAAGCAGAATCACCCTAAAAATATAATACCAAACTAGCCCTTAATCCATGAATATTTTGACATTGAAAGTTCTACTTTAAGGTAGACGATGCTTATCAATCTAGCGGCATTATACTTATGAATTTCTTATTATTACTTTACAAGCAAGGGAACACAAAAAGTTCATAATGTTTTATAAAACATCCAAATCTAGCCGAAAATCCTCCGTATCTTGCAGTGTGCCTTAGAAAAATCCTCCGTGCCAAGTTTTATTGTCCTACTCGGCCCAAATTCTTGATTGCCACCAAATACTTAATATTGGGCTGAGCCAAGTATTTTTGAACGGTACTTAAACAAATGGACACCTCAGGTTTAGCCCATAAATTTCCTCATTCTTTTTCATATTCTCTAGAGATAACAAAATTAACGGCATATACTTTATTTTAAAAGTATTATAAATATTAGGGAAAAATGTGTCCAGGCCCTAAAAGTGAGAACTTCGTGTGACTAGCCCCCTTGTACTTTGCCCCATGTGGAATAGCCTCAAAAAATGAGCTTTAATGTTTTAAGCCCCCTCCACGTCAGCTTTATACTAAAAGCAGAACGTATTTTGGAAAAAAGCCGAAACTATCCTTCTCTTTCTTCCCCAGACGAGTCCTGGTCCCGAACAACAGAAGTCACTTCTCATTAATGCGATATGATGGGGAAAATGGAGGGAAATTTCCCCCTTTTTTTTTACTCCATCATGAGCAATAACTAGTTAGTTCTCCATTACTCCTCCTCAGACCAAAATTCTCTCCATTACTCTCTCCATTACTCTTACTATCCCTTCAAAATGGCTGAAAAGGATATCATCTGTATTGTCTCTTCGCGGTATAAAGCAGTATTCTTGAAGATTAATTCTTCAACCACCATCTTGGATCTCAAGTTTGATGTGGCAGAGAGGTTAGATCTTCCATATGAGTCATTAATTTTGGCATACGAAGATGAAACAGTTGGAAGCTTAAAATTTCTCATTGAGAACGATGGTGATCTGACGTCTATGGTGGAGCATTGCCACAATCTTGGACTGAAAGAGGTTCACGTGCAAGCTTTTAAAGAAGGAGATGATTCTTCGAATAAACAGGAAAACGAGCAAGTCCGACAAAACATGTAGGTTAACTGTAAAATCAATTAACTTTAGTTCTAATCGGTTTCTTGTTAGGTCTATGCTAGGTTTAAATGGACTTCAGTTCTAATTCGATCGTATGTTAGTTGTAATCTTGGTTCTGTTAGATCTAATTCGATCGTATCTTATGTTAGTTGTAATCTTTGTAATCTTATCGTTAAGCAGTTCTTTGTTATGCTCCATACTAGAGTTCTAATGTTTTATTTGTCAGTTCTAATCGCTATTTTGTTAGTTCTACTAGAGTTATTGCTAGTTCCACTATAGTTCCCATATTGTTAGTCCTAATTGTTATAAATTAGATATAACGTGGTATAAATTAGACAATGTAGGTATAAAATAGAACTAACAAGCCATCAGTTAGAACTGACACTAACACACTACAGATTAGAACTAACACTGTGCATATTATTAGAACTAACACGCTACAGAATAGAACTAACACTGTGCAGATTAGAACTAACACTCTACAGAATAGAACTAACACTGTGCAGATTAGAACTAACACTCTACAGAATAGAACTAACATGTTATAATTTTGAAATAGCTTGTTATAAAATAGAAATAACTTCGTTAAATTAGAACTAACCTTTAATGGCTATATTGTTTGTTCTAATAGCTATTATGTCAGTTCTAATCAATGCACTGTTAGCTCTAATGGTTATATTGTTAGTTCTTTCTAGTTCTAATTGATTCTAACTGCAAGCAATTGTCGTTTTTGCTTTTTAGTTTTTTCTATTATCTGTTGATACTTCTACTATTTGTGCAGTTTGAACTCAAAAAGTGTAGACTGTGGCCCGTCGGCGTTGTTGACCACAAGTGTTCCAGATAAGAATCCCAATGACAATCCTTCCGGAGATGATGTCATGACGATTGATGACATGATTAGCAGATCAGAGAGGATTCCTGCTTGGTGGCACACAACTTTAACCGGTGAGGGACAACGATTTGAAAGTGCGAAGGAGTTAAGATTGGCCTTGCTATACTACTCCATGGCAAAAAAATTCGAATACGAGTTTGGGAAGAATGAACCGAAGCGTATTTGAGTGTTTTGTCGGTTTAAGGAAGCCAAAAATTGTCCGTGGATGTTGTTTGCCTCTCCACTGAAAAATGATAATAGACTTGAAATCAAAAGGTTTGTGGACAATCACAGTTGTGCGCAGCATGGCAATAATGCTGGTCAATCTAGAGCCTCTAGGCGATTCATTGCTACCCAATTACAACCCACGTTAAAGATTCGACCGGATATACGGCCTATTGACGTTCAAAAGGAGTTTCTAAGCTCGTATGGGATTAGGGTCGATTATAGTAAGATTTGGTGGGGTAAAGAAAGAGCACAAGAGAAATTATATGGTGATGCCCATGAGTCCTACGATCAATTACGATGGTAAATAGAAGATGATATCTAACAAAAGACAAACTAATTTCCTTTATGTGACGTTGATTATACTAATTTTTCAATGTTGGTACTAACGCTTAATCTTCAATTTTCTAGGTATGTAGAAGAGGTCAAGAAGACAAACCCAGGTAGCTATATTCATGTTGAACAATATGAGGGGAGGTTTACAAGGTTATTCATATGCTACGCCGCCTGCATAAATGGTTTTTTATACGGATGTAGACCACTCATATTTTTGGATGGTACCTTTCTTAAAGATCGATTCAAAGGCATACTCCTAAGCGTTGTAGCATATGATGGAAATCAGGGGATATTTCCATTGGCGTATTGTATATGCGATCAGGAAAATAACGTTAACTAGAAGTGGTTCTTACAAGGTTAGTTCCATCCCTAGCCATGTTAGTTCTATTGCAGCTTATGATAATTCTAGCTCTTTCATTGCTAACTCTAATTTGTATATGGTAACCACAACTCTTTGTAGGTTTGTGGTCTATTCTCTATGAAAGGCCAGATCCATACAACCCTCCACACAAGCTAGTGATAATTTCAGATGCGGATAAGGGGATCAGAGAAGCTGTTAGAGATTTTTTTTTCCAGATTCTATACACTCTCGATGTGTGTTGCATCTAGTTGAGAACTTCAGGACAAAGTTGAAGGATTTGGGATTCAAATCAAAAGATACTCAGATCTTGGGTAATCTATTGCAATCTGCCTGTTACAAATATACTAGAGCAGAATGGAACGATTACATGGACGACATTAGACTGGTTGACGAAAGAGCTTACAATATTGTGATGAACTACGCTCCAGAAAACTGGGCCAATGCGTTTTTCCCTGGAGTTAGGTAAGTTATAAGCTATTTCATTACATGACTATTATAAGCCGCTTGACGAATTCCCTATTATGTTTCAGATATGGTCACGTTACATCAAATGTTGCAGAGTCATTCAACAAATGGATACATGAGGCTAGGCTACTACGGATACTTCAACTGGTAGAGCACATACGTAAACAGATTATGGTTCGTATGAATGAGCGACGAGTCATGGCTGAAAGCTGGAATCAATTTCTTTGCCCCAAAGCTGAACTTGCTCTCAAAGAGAACATGGAAAATGGCCGTCCATTGGAGGTTCGTCAGTCCCACACAGGATTATCTGAGGTACAATCCTATAGATCTTGTCAAGTGGATCTAGACAATAAAACATGCACTTGCCATGGGTGGGATGTAACCCGTGTCCCTTGCAAACATGCATGCACATCCATTATGTTTATGAAAAGGGATGTCTACCAGTTCTGTGACTGGTTTATGACGGTTGAAGCCTTTAAAAAAAGCTATGAACTAATCCTCTACCCTATCCCTGACTTTGAGAAGCGCATCGTGCCAAGGGATGAGATACAGATCCTACCTCCACTTACAACAAAAAGGAAAGGGAGAAATAAAACCAGGCGTATCAACAACAGAACTGTTTACACGCGGCCAGTAAAATGTTCTCGATGTCATATGGAAGGTCATAACCGTAAAACATGTAATGAATCTATAGCTGACTAAGTGTTTGATATGTTGAAGTGTTTTCGTCCCAGTATGCAACAAATATTTTGTTTTTTTCCGATTGAATGTTTACTCTTTGTTAATCGGGAACTAACATCAGCTTACACTAGATAAAAAGTTGTAAGTAACAAAACAACTATCATATTAGGCCTAACACGCTTAAAAGAATAGAACCTGTGTAGATTAGAACTAACACTCTACAGAATAGAACTAACACTGTATAGATTAGAACTAACACGATACAGAATAGAACTAACACTGTGCAGATTAGAACTAACACGCTACAGAATAGAACTAACACTGTGCAGATTAGAACTAACACGCTACAGAATAGAACTAACACGCTACAGAATAGAACTAATATGTTATAATTTAGAAATAGCTTGTTATAAAATAGAAATAACTTCGTTAAATTAGACCTTGGAATAAATTAGAACTAATGTGGTTAAAATTAGAACAAACTTGGTATAAATTAGATCTAACGTGGTATAAATTAGATAAAACGTGGTATAATTTAGATATAACGTGGTATAAAACAGAACTAACTTGGTATAAATTAGAACTAACTTGGTATAAATGAGATATAACGTGGTATAAATTAGGTTTATAACATGGTATAAAATAGAACTAACATAAATTAGATATAACGTGGTATAAATTAGATATAACTTGGTATAAAATAGAACTAACAAGCCATCAGTTAGAACTGAAACTAACACGCTACAGAATAGAACTAACACTGTGCAGATTAGAACTAACACGCTACAGAATAGAACTAACATTGTGCAGATTAGAACTAACACGCTACAGAATAAAACTAACACTATGCAGATTAGAACTAACACGCTACAGAATAGAACTAACATGTTATAATTTAGAAATAGCTTGTTATAAAATAGAAATAACTTCGTTAAATTAGAACTAGCATTGGAATAAATTAGAACTAATGTGTTTAAAATTAGAACAAACTTTGTTTAAATTAGATCAAACTTGGTATAAATTAGATCTAACGTTGTATAAAATAGAACTAACTTGGTATAAATTAGAACTAACTTTGTATAAATGAGATATAAAGTGGTATAAATTAGGTTTATAACGTTGTAAAAAATAGAACTAACGTTGTATAAAAAAGAACTAACTTGGTATAAATTAGATCTAACGTGGTATAAATTAGATATAACGTAGTATAAAATAGATATAACGTGGTATAAATTAGGCTTATAACGTGGTATAAAATAGAACTAACATAAATTAAATATAACGTGGTGTAAATTAGATATAACGTGGTATAAAATAGAACTAACAAGCCATCAGTTATAACTGAAACTAACACGCTACAGAATAGAACTAACACTATGCAGATTAGAACTAACACGCTACACAACACTGTGCAGATTAGAAATAACACACTACAGAATAGAACTAACACTGTGCAGATTAGAACTAACACGCTACACAACACTGTGCAGATTAGAACTAACACGCTACAGAATAGAACTAACACTGTGCAGATTAGAACTAACACGCTTAACAATAAAACTAACACTGTGCAGATTAGAACTAACACGCTACAGAATAGAACTAACACTGTGCAGATTAGAACTAACACGCTACAGAATAGAACTAACACTGTGTAGATTAGAAATAACACGCTACAGAATAGAACTAACATGTTATAATTTAGAATAGTTTGTTGTAAAATAGAAATAACTTCGTTAAATTAGAACTAACCTTGGAATAAATTAGAACTAATGTGGTTAAAATTAGAACAAACTTTGTTCAAATTAGAACTAACTTGGTATAAATTAGATCTAACGTTGTATAAAATAAAACTAACTTGGTATAAATTAGAACTAACTTGGTATAAATGAGATATAAAGTGGTATAAATTAGGTTTATAACGTTGTGAAAAAAAGAACTAACTTAGTATTGTAGGCATATAAAATTGCTTATAGGTCCCTTAGCACAGCTCGGCACAAACCGACGAACCAACGAGGCGACGAATCGCACGCGAGCAACGGAATGCATCCATTCGCGTGCGGAATCAAGCCAATTCAAGAGCCGAAACTCTGCCGGATTGAAGAGCGAACTCGGAGCTTTGAAGACTTGAAGACTTGCACATTCGGATCTGATCCTCGGCGAGCATCCACGTCAGAAAAGGCAGGATTTCGAGAGGAAGAAAGAACAGATCTGAGATCTACACGAGACTACACTCCAGATCTAAGCTTGGTCTTAGATCTCGAGATCCGAGCGATTATTTCCTTAGTGAACTAATCCCTCCCGGCTATTATTCCCTTCGTGGAATAATACCCGTCAAATCGTGTAGATCCGACCGGATCTAGATCGCGCGGTGGTCCACGGATTAACCCCGGCGTTGGCAAAGAACCCACACAAGTGAGCGACCGCAAAACAGGAGCTCGCGATTTGTTCGACAAAAGAGAAAGTTGTAATTTTTATTTCTTTTTTTTTATTTCGTTGTAACCGGATCTAAAAAAGACCGGATCTTTTGTAACCATAAAAAGTTGTTATTTTGAGATCACAATGACATCAGTGAAGAAAACGATTTTCCCCACGAACAATCTGGCGACCACAGTGGGAGCCAACGGTCTCGCTGCCGAGACCGTCACGTCGCAGCCGCGGATTCCGATCCCGGTCGAGGAGGAGGTCGAGTATGAGTTCGACAAAGCCAAGTTCGAGGAGTACGTGTCCTCGTCCGGATCTACCTCCCCCCGCAAGTCCAAGAAACTCTCCTCCAGGAGAAAAGTTCGTTGGTTCGAAGAAGCTCGGAAAGCCAACGAAGCTCTCACCCCAGCTGACGCCAAAGTCGCGTCGGATGAAGTTCTGCCGACCTCCAACCAGGTCAACCCAACTCCCGCCAACGCCTCCACTGTTGAAGGCGTTGTGACTCTCTCAAAGAGAGCCCGCCAGAGGCGTCGTCAACGCCTTACGCGGCAACTCGCCAAGGTGATGGAGTCTACAGACGGATTCCGCTACAACGCGGATCTGAAGAACAGAAAAGGCAAACAGCCTCAACCACCAATGAACGGCGACTCCTCCAAGCCGCCAAAGAACGAATGGGTCCGCGTCAAACGGAACCGTTCGACGCTTGAGGAGCGTATCCGCAAGCACCGCGCGATGTCAGCACAGGCACGGGCTAAAGTCCAGGAAGCCCGTAGAAGACTGAAAAAGGAGGTGACGAAGAAGCCACCACCAACCCGCCAAGTCTGGAAGCCGAAGTCTGAAGTGGCGACTCAGGCCAAAAAGCAACCATCGCAGCCTTCTAAGCAAAATCAAACTCCGGCGTATCAACCAAAGTCGCCGTTAATTCCTATGGCTACTCCGGGAGATCATGCAGAATCATCCCGAAGGAGGAAGCCAGTTTTGGAGCGCCTCGGTCCAGTTCCCGACGAGAGAGGCAAAGTTCCAGTTCACGAGCGTTTGGGCCCAATGAAGAAGCCCAGAACGACTCAACACGTTGGGGGTCGCCGTCACCTCCAGTATGACAAAGAGCTCAAGGCAACTGCACGCACCAATTTGCGCATCGAAGTCCAAGAGCACACTGAAGACTCGCGCCCACAAAGGCACGTTTCGAGGCGTGTAACTTTTGAAAGCCCAAAGAAGGCGATCCAACCTCAGATGGAAACATTATCATCTGATAGTGATAGTGTCATACCTGAGAAGTCGTGCCCGCACACGATAGGTTACTCCGACTGTCAAAATGACGAGTTGTACTATCGTACTGGGGGTACGAGTAAAACCAGGAAAAGGAGTCCCCGAGAACAGGAAACTCAGTGCCCCTGTTCCAAACTCATTCGGGCAGTATTGTCTGAATGCAGCTACATTAAGGCGGTCCCCGAACGAGTTTCGGTGTTCGAAAGGCTTAGTACCGAAACGTCAAAACCAAGGCATAGGCGTTTCCGGCAAAGAAGAATGGTGGTTGAAGACGGAGAATTTTCGAAGGTCACCACCAACATGACCAGCAAAGGGACATCGGCACGGGATGATTTCGAGTCGATTCTGAGAGCCTCCCGGCCTAGAACCCGTCTGCAGTCCGGAACCATCGAGCGAGCAACCTATGGTAGGGTTCGGACAAGACGCCCTTCAGAAGATGAAGAATCTGATGCCGGCTCCGTGGTTGCATCAGATAATACGGTATCCAGCGAGGGACAACCCCGCGAGGCACTTATGATAAGTGCGGAACAAATTGCCAAGATGCTTGAAGACGCCTTAGCTAAGCTGCAGGAAACCTTCAGGTTCGAAATGCAAATGGCCATGCAAAACATGAGAGAAATGCATGACCAACAAATCCAAGCATTGACGAACCAGCAAGGCGAGCCAAGTCATCGTAACCTCTGGAAGACGAGGATACGAATGAAGCTCGTAATACCAATAATCCTCCCGTCAATACAGGGGGTGGTAACGAGAATGCTAGTGAAAACACAGATGAAAATCTGAAAATTAAAAATCTCGAGAGAAAAATCAATACATTGATTTCCGCTCAAGAGACGAAGAAAACAGGCATTCCTTGCCCATACCCATTAAACACGTCGTTTAATGGGATGGGTTCACCTACCCAGCATTTGATTTACTTCAAATCGCACTTGGGAGTTATCTCTGGTAATGAGCCTCTGACGGTGCGGTCATTCGTCGGCACTCTTCGCGGAGCCGCCTTCGATTGGTATCGCCGCCTCAAGCCAGGCAGCGTGAACAGCTGGGATGACATGGAGACCAAGTTCCTGGCCAACTTCTT